TTTTGGGGGGCGCTGCTTGCAGTTGAGCGTGTTAGTGAACTTTTACGTGAGCTTCTTTGAAGTCCAAATTATGGAAAATATCGAATTTTGGATTATGGTGTTCGAGTTGTTGTTATTTCTGGGCGGAATAGAGTTAAATCCTGGTCCTGTTGATCGTACTCCGCCGCATTCACAGATTCAGGCATCGGCATCCACTGCTAAACGACATCGTTCTCCGAGTGAACCTTCATTGAAAACGGCGAGATTAGAAGATTTCTTCCCTTTAAAGTCAGACACAAGTAAGTCTATTCCTGGGGAGGTTATTTCTTATTTGGATGACCGATTTGATAAGCTTTTTTCGACGTTAAATGAGGTAGTTGCGAAGATAGATTGGTTGGCTAATTTACATAATGACCATGATCGGCGTTTGACTCAGTTAGAAGCCAAACTAGGAGAGATTTCTAAAATTAAAGATGATTTGCAACGGGAAAACAGTTTGATTTTGTATTCTTTGGACAAGGTGTCGAATGAAGCGAGAAAGAAAAATTTTTTAATTAAAGGTTTGATTGATGATGGTTCTGATTTGAATAGGAAGGTGCAGAACCTGTTTTATACATTGATAGGTGAATCAAGACCTATTCCAACGGTTAAGATAGAGAAATTTAAACGTTCAGATATGGTATTGGTGGAATTGCAGTCATTTGCAGACAAAAAATTAATTTTTGCTAATCTTGGAAAGATAAAAGCCAATGACGTATTAAAAAATATACAAATTTTTGAAGATTTATGCTGGTGCTCCAGATTGAGATGGAAAAAGCTTCTGCCTTTTTTACATGCTTATAGGTTTGAGGGCAGGCGAGTTCGATTGATGGCCGACGTTTTACAGGTTGCCTCAGAGAGATATACTTATGATTTGGCTAGAGGAGAATTATTGAAACTTGATTTTTTAGTGGAAAGCCGTGTAGTAGATTCTCCAAATGTTTTCTCTCCGATTAAGGGAAGTGTACAGTAGAATTGAAAGTTTCAGCATGGAACTCCCAGGGCGCCTTTCTGACTAATCTGAATGATAACGGTTTTGTTGAACATATTTCCAGAACTGATATTTTGGGACTGACTGAGACTTGGTCTACAGTTCCTTTATGTTCGAGAGTTAAAAGTATTAACTGTAAATTTAAAGTTTTTGAGATATTGGCCACCAAAAATTTGGGGAGAGGTAGACCATCGGGTGGGTTACTTTTGGCCATAAATGGTGACCTGGGAGAAGTTAATTTGCTTCTGTCATGGCAATACATGATGGTTGTTAAAGTGAAATTTAATCGGAGGCAAAGTAAAGGATTACGTGAAATGATAATCATATTGGTTTACCTTCATATACCTATTTTTGACCAATTAATTTCAAGACTAGAAGATTTGATCTCTGATTATACATCAGATTACGATCTTTTGTTGATGGGTGATTTTAATGCACGAATTGGTTTGACAATGGACTCTTTTTGTGGTGGGAATGTGATTTCGAACATTCGTTTATCAAACGATAAAATTTGTAACAAAAGAGGAAAGTTGCTTATTGAACTGGTGAAATTTTATAACCTTTACATAATAAATGGTCGTTATCCTTTCGACTCACCAGCTGACTTCACTTATGTATCTGGATTGGGTGCTTCAGTAATCGATTTAGTGATTTTGAGCGAAGATTTGGTGGCGAGACTACGTGATTTTGTTGTTTCCGATGACTACATGTCTGACCATCATATGCTGAATTTTGGAATTTTGATTGATACTGATGAGGATAGACAACTAAATTTGATTGATAGGATAAAACGATTAACTTGGAAGGAGGATAGATCCACCCTATATTCCGAGACAGTTTCGGTTGGATATGCAAATGTTGTTTTAAGTGGTGGAATGGAGGATAGGTATTCTGGAATTCTGGATTTGATTAAGACATCAGCTGAACAATGTGGTATGTTTTCATACTTAGGAATGATGAAAATACCATCTTCAGTTTGGTTCGATAGTGATTGTAGAACAGCGAAGAGATTGAAGAATAAAATGTTGAGGAGGTTTCGGATATCCCGTAGTAAAGATGATTTGATGCATTATTGTGGTTATAGGACTGCCTTTCGATCATTGTGTAGGATAAAAAAGAAGAATTATTGGTCAAATATTAGTAGGCAGCTGCAAAATACACGTTCTTCTAGACAGTTTTGGTCTATTGTTAACAGATTTAGTATGATAAAAAAA